GTGGAAAATGCATATTTGATTTCTTAGCTTCTGATGTCTTATTTAATGCAAACCAATACTTATAGCCTTGATTGTATCTTCTAGAAAATAACGACGTTATCAAAATCGCTGACCGATACTGATTACATGACACAGGCTTCTGGCATTTATCTCATACTGGCCAGATATCAAATGTCTGTTCTTATTTGGTCGTTATAGCATTTTATCATACTTTATCATATTTAAAAAAAACGCAACGATAGTATCTACAAAATGTGTGTATACAATGACCAGTACAAGTGTAAGGTTTAATCAACTTTAGATGAATATAAATATTTATACGACTTGTCCGTATATTTTTTATATTTTCTATATCCCTTTGAAATTTATCTCTCAAACATTTTCAAAGTTAATCTAACTTTGAAAGAGATTGCTTTACTTTTAGACATTTGTACCAAAATGTCTCTTTATAAACCAAAAATTAATGACAAATGTGACAATTTAGCTTCTTTTTGCCGATTTTCGTTTCCACGGTGGTGATGCACATGGAGATTTTCTGTTGGTCTCTTCTTATGGTGTTACGTGTCTTAGTATATTCGATATGCGCGCTTCTGCAGTAACGTATAAGATTATTTTTTTTCAAAATTCATACATTTTATAGTTTTATTGTTGATATTCACCCCATATGTACCAAGTGTTAAATTAGTTTTATTGATATTAAAGACATTTCTTGGTATTCCTAAACGGAAGATTTTATACACACAGAAGAAGAAGTATACTTAACAACAAAATTATTTTCATTTACCTGTGTATAATATGACGCAGGTTTTTTCAAAAGTGATGATTTTCTAAATATTGTATAACATTTCACAGTGGTATCATACTTTAACTTTGTTTAAACCTGTTTATTTACTTTTGACCTTAATTATTTATCCCTTATAATTTTTATTAACTATGTATTTGCATTCAGGTATCACAGATCAAATTTATTCGTTCATTGTGTGTTAATTTACGTTTTTTGATTGAGTTAAGCCTTCCAATTGATATTTTATAGTGTGTCTTTCTATGTTGTGATGTTATACTATTGTTTCAGAAAAGGGAGAAGGTTTGGTACCATTAAAACGTTTAATCCCGCTGCAAATGTTTGCACCTGTCCTTAGTCAGGAATCTTATGTACAGTAGTTGTCGTCTGTTTATGTAGTTCATACGTGTTTCTCGTTTCTCGTTTTTATATAGATTAGACCGTTGGTTTTCCCGCTTGAATGGTTTTACACTAGTAATTTTTTGGAGCCCTTTATAGATTGCTGTTCGGTGTGAGCCAATGCTCCGTGTTGAAGGCCGTACCTTGACCTATAATGGTTCACTTTTATAGGTTGTTACTTGGATGGGGAGTCTCAATGGCACTCATACCACATCTTTCTATATCTATGTAAAAAAATGAGCAAAAGGTTGAATGTTTTTAAAGTGTTTGAACTTATTATTATACTCCTTAAAATGGAATCATTTCTCCGAAACAAATGTTTGTATTTTCATAAAATTTAGTAAAAGATTTGATCCATTTTTACATTTTTGAAGTAGTTTTCTTTATCCTACTAGTTCATGGTTATATTATTTATAAGGTTACAATTATACTTTTATTATAACATTCGTACGTACGATATTTTAGGGAATTTATGGTCAGTGTAGCTTGGTAGGTGAATAAATTTACATGCTGCACAAATCTGTTTCGGCAGTGCACAATTTCATACATTTACACTCTTATATACCTGACTTTGCAGAATTGCACCAATGTACTGTCATGTAATAGTAAGACACAAACTGGAATAATTTACTGATGACTGCATTGTAAATAGAGATATTTGAGATTCTGATCAACCTCTACTTTCAAAAACGATTCACTTTTTCTGAAATAGCAAAGTGATTGCGATTTTATTACAAAATTGTAGTAAAATTGTTTTTAAAAATATGCTATGATTACATTCTGACAGTTCATATGTAGCATACATTGATAGTCGTTGTTCAACTCCATTTCATTTAACATTTGTCATCCTTTAAGAGTCATACCAAGATATCAACACCGTTTCAACTAAAAAGGGCAACGATATTGCCATATGGTGAACATTCATAATACAACCCACGATAAATAAATGTGAACAAACTATTAAGTTTATTTTTTAAATGTAGGAATCAAGAATCGGATTTTATTTGAAAGAATACGTTAAGTGTTTGGTTATCATTATCCTCCATTTCGCTACACCCGCTTTGAGAAATCTTCGTTCCATCAGATTTTTCACAGCTTTCGAAGTGCATATATATTAGGATAATCAATTTTTACAAGCTTAATATACACAAATAGCAATTGCAAATACTTAACTTAAATAACGAAACAATATACCAACATGAATGTCGCACATTTTCAAATTCATTAACCATTTATTAAATTAAAAAAATTGCGGTTTGCATTGCGTGCTTATGGAGAGCGTCTGTTTGATATCATAAGATTATGAATGATACATCTCAATATTCATACATATTCTATTTAATGCATATGTGGAAAAAGAAAACGGTATCGCAACAATTTGTATGATAAAAGGGACCCATAATTGTGGATTTATAATCAAGACCAAACGTCCGAATGCATTAACGTTTGTAAAGATTGTCAGGATTCTATAGGATATATATATTTTTCAGTTTACAGTTATGCAGTTGAAGGCCGTACTGTGACTTATTGTTGTTAATTTCTGTGTCATTTGGTCTCTTATGGAGAGTTGTCCCTTTGGCAATCATACCGCACCTTTTTATTTTTATATATACAGATTTTAGTCTGATAAAACTGTTGTTTTGTGGTCCCTTTTTGTCATATACCTCTTCGCATGTCTCGGTTCTTATAATCAAGGTCCTTTTCACATTCAGATATATTGATGATTTTTTTTTCCATTAACAATCCAAACTTTTCTGATTGGGTTCCATTATATATCCTCCAGAACTGGAAATTAAACAAACAACATACACGGCTTCCTCTGCCTCATTTTAGACTTGTACCTCGAATTTGACATAAGCGGTCATCTCATTGCCAGAAACAATGACAAACGAGACGATTTTAATTTTGAAATTATCAATTTCCCCCACCTTAGTAGCAATATACCAACTTCACCTGCATATGGGATATACATTTCCCAACTCATTCGGTATTCAAGAGCTTGTAGCTGCTACTCAGACTTTGTAAAACGTCACCAGTGTCTGAGCAGAAAGTTGATGAACTAGGGCTATATCAAAGAACGTCTCGTCCTTTTTCTTTGTTGACATATTTGTTTGTGTTTATGGTGATTAAGATTAAAACACAATGTTGACAGCTGTTCCCCTATTTTTGACATTTTTACCTATTATGTCTGTATGTTTTGTTCACACATCGTTGTCAATAGAATGGAATTTTACGCGACTGTCATACAAGTGAGAGGTTTAGCTAGCTATAAAACCAGTTTTAATCAACCATTTTCTACATAAGAAAATGCCTGTACCAAGTCAGGAATATGACCGTTGTTATCCATTCGTTTGATTTGTTTGAGGTTTTGATTTTGTCATTTGACTAGGGACTTTCCGTTTTGAATTTTCCTCGGAGTTCGGTATTTTTGTTATTTCACTTTTTGGTTATGTAGCTCTTCAATTGTTTCGGTTCTTATACATCATTGGCTTTCAAATGTTTGGCTTTGAGCAATCTTGATGATAGTATATTCAGAAAAAAGCTTAGCACGCTTGAAATTTATAACGTGTTGTTTTCATTTTTAATTTTTATTAATTTATAAATTATTAAGAAAATAAGGTTCCATCTCCCTGAGGCAAGGTTAACCATAGATGGATTGGGCTCTTGTTTGTGGGAAAAAAGTAAAATCACAAAAATACTGAACTCCGAGGAAAATTCAAAGGGAAAGTCCCTAATCAAATGGCAAAATCAAATGATAAAACACATCAAACGAATGGACAACAACTGTCATATTCCTGACTTGGTACAGGCATTTTCAAATGTAGAAAATGGTGGATTGAACCTAGTTTTATAGCGCTAAACCTCTCACTTGTATGACAGTCGCATCAAATTGTTGTTTGTGGGTTTCTTTTGTTACTATAGCTACACACGTGATTTGGCTGGTTCATCATTGGCTTTGAGCGTATCTGATAAATGTTAATTAAAAAAACTCTTCGGAAGCATAAACGTTTCATTTTTGTATTGTATTGTGTTTGTATTTGTAAAGAATGAAAGTTACATTACAAATTTGTGTATATATGTATCAGAACTTTTACATTCTTTAATATTCAAATTCCACAGAGTTCACGCAACTTCCTTATTTTGACTATGAAAATGAATCGCAGACAATAGGAACTATTTGCCATATCTCATTCTGCTTAAGAGAGGCGAAAGATACCAAAGGGACATTCAAACTCAAAAGTCGAAAATAAATGCTCCGGAAGGGTAAGCAGATCCTGCTCCACACGTGGCACCCGTTGTGCTAGTCATGTAAGTACAAAGCCGGTAATAAGACTATTTCGATAGGTAACATTCGTCATCTGTAAAACAGATAATCCATAACGGTCAACCAACTCGTGATGGCGTCCGTAAAATTTACGAAGGGATGATTTCAACTTCACCACTTGGAACTCTTGGTTTAGTAGATTCCTTATGAGCAACAATCCTCTATCAAGGTTAATCAAGCGTGTGAGAAAATGTATTAACACTGACTGTGATACATGGCGAATCAGCAATTTCGATGGAAACTCAACTTATATCATAATTACTTTATCATGTCATAAACATAGCTGAGGTACTAAAATCAGCATAACATCTGTGTCCTATTTGTCTGGCGTACACAATTTTAATCCTGGTATCTGTAATGAGTTTTTTTATACTTTTGCTCGATTCCTGTATTGATAATAGAGGTACGTCAAAGTAAGAAAAAATTAACACGTAATTAAAACTATTCTTGTTTTCCTAATTACAGTGTTGTTTCCGTCATATTAAATGCATGTAGTATTTTTGTGGCTTTATTTTTCATAATTTTTATATACATGAAACATGAAAAATGAAAGGAATTACAACAGTGTATTTTGAAGAGACTGAATGTTTTTGATTTTCATCTTCTCTCGCTTTAAAACTAGAATAATCAGCACTCTCTATGGAAACAAAGCAATCTTTATTGATAATAGTCTCATAGCTTTATGTTATTTCCATTCGTTGAAACGCTAGTTTATGTCGCATTCTCTCTTTCCAGTAAACTCGTGGATTCTACCGGATTTATTTTATCTGGTTGTTTCACAAATTTGTTGTCGTCACCTCCTGATTTCCCAACCAATTTGTTTGGATCACTCTGACCTGATGCTTTATTACTTTTACTTTTGGTATCTTTTGCTTTCTTGCTCCTGTTGAAATAAAACAACAAGGTATTTGTAGTATGTTTCTCTCCCCTTTTTTTACTTCAGCATGGCGTTATACATAGTTGACTCCTTTAAACTCAAGCTCTTGCTATGACATTTAATTTTGGACTAGAATGACTTTAGGCATATTTGATTTGTATAGCTAAGCTGATAGCATTCATTTAGATTATTATTGGTTTTTAATCATTGGCTATATTTTGAAAATGTTCGGATCATTAAATATTTATATATATTTTCATAAATACTAATTATGCAACTCTCTTTTGTTTAAAAGGATGATGATTTTATTAACTTTCTTGGTACCACTTGATATTAGAACGAATGGTCCCCGAAGTTCCTGATAAAGGTAGATCAACAAAATGTATGGAAGGCTGGAAAATTGCACGTTTCACTGAAATATACAACCACTATGTCGTCATACTGAATGATACTGAATGATGAATTTTGAACCCGATCTTTCGTGAATTTTAACTCAGTAGACAATACTTGTTTCGTTCCTTGTTATGCTTTCATTAATTCTTAAATGCTTATTAAGTTTGTAAATTCTATAAACAAAAAAAAATCTGCTGTACTCGGCAACTGATTTTGTATGTTATAAACAATGCAATTTAAAGAAAAATTTAAGGTTTATTTTCAAAATGAATGAGTAAAATGATATAACACAGTAAAATGATATAACACTACAATATGAGCCTACATACATAATGCAGTTAAGTAAAAAAAAACGTTTGAAAATGTTTTACCATCAATAATATAAGCGTTGAAATCCGTTGTTAATTGCCATTTTTTTTATCAAATTTGTGTACGGGGAATCATATGTCCATACTTAATCCTTGTGTGAACAATAAATGAGGTCCTTAATAAAACAAATATTTGACCTCAAATTCAGTGCAAATTTTAAAATTGCCATGCATGATTTAAATGTACCCTTACTTGACCCATATCATAATTGTTCAGTGATTAAAAAAAAACAATTTTGATGAGCTACAATGAAACACCCTCTCCTTAGTATTGGTTTATTCTAAAAATTTCATGATTTTTCATATTTCAAATGTTTAGTATATTGTTGGTTGTTGTGTATATTCCGAACTGAAAAGGTATTGTACACTACATAATCGGTCTTATATCTTTTGAGACTGTGTAACAAATTAGAATAGAGCTTATATCATTTTTTTATTAGTTAAACTGTGCATGATGTTTCAACAAAGGACATATGGATTAGAAACCGCATAAAATCAGCCGTTTCCTTCATTCTCTCAAAATGACGCATATTTTGGTCATAATATTAATTATTTCTTTTCTAGTGCATTATTCTTTCTTGTGAGCAGACAACACACTGACCAAAAATCAAAACGACAACAATAACAAAACGCTACATAGAAAACTACGGATTGAACAGTATAAACCGCATGAACAACCAAACGTTAACGCAGGTGCCTCGGACGAGTCATCAGTTGTTGCTTCATATGTGACATTGAAAACTGAATTTTTCTTTGGTCAATAGTAGGCCTTAGTGATATCAAAATCAGGAGAAAGTGTTGTTTTAAATTAGTAAATGAGATAACCATTCATTAAAGATTACAAGATTAAGATGTGAACAATCACGTGTCACCGTACGGCCTTTTACAGTAAGAAAACCCATTCCATATGATAATTTGTAAAAGGCACAAGGAGGACAAAATGGCGATAATTCAGAAGAGAAAATCAACATCCTGTTGTAAACTACAACAATAAACGAATAAACTTAGTCGCAGACATCTACCAAAAACATTCATTGTGATACAGACGCCTTGCCTGAAACAGACACATCCACTTCATTTGAACTTTGGTGGATAGTTGTCTCATTGGCAATCATACCACTTCTCCTTATTTTTACATACAGAATGTGCCGATTTTAAACATAATGAGGAGCACTGATCATCCCCAGCATCTGTAACAGTGGGATCAAAAACAGAATACGAAATGAAGGGCTTGACTGATCAAATCGATACAAAGCTCGAATACAACCAACACATTTACAATAGATACAAAGTATCTACTTAAAGGTATTCGCAGTTTTTGAACAGTAGTCAAATAATAAATAAGCCATATTTTCATTCCCAAAATTCAGTACACCTCCGACGAATTTAGTAGAAATGCCGAACAAATAAGTGTCAACAAGATGAATTAACATGTATAACAAAAAATGATGATAACTGGAAAGCAGTTCCTATACATGTAAGTTATTTTTACATTCCAGCAGCGCCTGCATACGGAGTATATATCTCCCAATTGATACGATAATCCCGGGCTAGTATTTCCTATCATGATTTCCTTTATAGAGGATTGCTGCTCACAAGGAGGCTATTAAACCAAGAGTTCCAAATGGTGAAGTTGAAGTCATCCCTTCGTAAATTTTACGGACGCCATCACGAGTTGGTTGACCGTTATGGAATAACCGGTTCACAGATGATATCGGATATGTTCCTTATGTCGTAACTACAATACCCTTCCCTTTTCACGAATGTGAACTACCGAATTAGACTATTTACCGGATTTGTAATAACATAAGCAACACGACGGGTGCCACATGTGGAGCAGGATCTGATTACCCTTCCGGAGCATCTGAGATCACCCCCAGTTTTTGTGGGGTTCGTGTTGCTTAGTCTTTAGTTTTTTTATGTTGTGTTATCTGTACTATTATTTGTCTGTTTGTCTTTTTTATTTTTGGCCATGGCGTTGTCAGTTTGGTTTCGATCTATGAGTTTGACTGTCCCTCTGGTATCTTTCGTCCCTCTTTTACGGACAATTTTCATGAGAAATCTTGTTTTACCTACTTATTCAGCAAACGATTAGAGCAGTTATAATATTCATATCAATGTAATAGTTTTCAAGTGGTAAAATGGCATAAAGCTGGTATTAATAACCAATAATTCAAAAGTATTTAAATTTCTGCAGATATTGATGAATTAATCTAAAAATTAGCGGTTCGTATGGCATATTTAAAGCAAATCACTGCATTTTATCTAGATAATGAAAACACAAAAAAATTCCGAAATCAGTAAAAATCGAAATAACAATTTGATTTACTTGACGGTATATTACTTTTCTTTACATCTCTAAGCAAAAAATACTAACAGCATACTAATAAATTTCTTTTTTTTCGCAACTTTTTATTGCTGGAAAGAAGAATTGTAACGAGAACAGAATATTTAGTTGTACAAAGTTGCACGTGTCAAATGAATATTCTTTTAAACATGACAGTTTCTGGTAAAAGGGGCATTAGCTGTCAAATTCATGTTTACCGATTTGACTCAAATTCTCATAATTGAATTATATCATACTAAAACGTATATCCAAATTATAAGAATTCTAGAATAAACAATTTACAATGCATGGGCTCGATAAATGTATCAGCATTTGTGTATTTTGGCCTAGACGCCATCTAATTTACTATCGAGGTGACCTCTGAAGACTGCCGACGGTCATATAGCCCGATATAAACATAAATATAGATATAAATAGATAGCGAATTCGTTCAATAGGATTTTACTAGGTCTGTTTGATTTCATATTATAGGTTTGAAAAATATATGTAAATCGTCGTGTTTCTTAGCTTTTTTAACAAAATTGAACCAATTGGCTTCTAAAAACGAATTAGTATTTCGCTATTTCACTTTCATTAATGATTGAACAAAAAAAATCATATTTTTTTTTTATATATCTCATAGATAATGCCCTTTTAAATTGAGTGTATGCTAGTATTGTTTGCAGAATAGAAATATTATAACTATTTACTTAGCTAAAACATCCAGCTTGTAAAATACTTCATTATAGTTGACTCTCTAGAAAAAGTAATATCGGAATTAACTGTATCACATACAAAATAGGTTAAAAAGGTCTTAACAGGTGTTGGAAGTTAAAATTTGGTCAAACGCAGAAAATAAAAATTACGAAGCCACCATAGGGCAAAATTCGAAAAATTCGTGTTGTTTGGCAACAACTTTTCGTTCTGTCGTTTTTCAAACGATTTTTGTGCCAGTAGAAGTTTCAAATTAACTTTAATTTGTTATCTCTATCTATTGTATATCGGCAAAAACAAAGCTTTTTTTGTCAGGTGGTGCAAATACAAAACGTATTTCGGGAGTATGGTTTGTCTCCCAGTCTTAAAACTGTAAGGAAAATAATTTGGAAGAAGTTAATTTGAAAGGTATGCTACGATAATCAACCAGTTCAGTACATGGTTAGGGAAAAACAATTGGTTCCTTTCCAATTATCTCTCTTTTACACCAAGACATAAAATAAGCAGTGAGAACTTGACGACATTATTTCCGATTAGTTTCAAAAGTTAAAAACAAATAAGGCTCTCTTTAGGTTCAAAAATTTCCGTCTGTATGCTCTCTGTCTATATGTCTGTCTGTCTGTCTGCATACAATTGTACATGTCGTATCCGATTCAGAACTTCGGAATGCCTTGAATACTGTTAAGGTACGCGAAAATGTACTATTAATAAATTTGGAATGTCAAGGTCACAAACCAGCTTCAATTTTAATACAAAATGTTCAATATTGTCCACATTTTATATATCAAGAAAACACATTTAAACATAGAGATAAATGGTTAAAAAATGAAAGAATACAGAAATGAAGACGATTCCATCCTGACCCTACTTACTTACTAAGTCTTTCAAAATGGTTCTGTCGTCCGATTGTCTGACAATTTAAATACATACTTCTAGTTTTAAATACTTTATAAAACAGAATTTAGATGTGCGCAATGTATGGAATGGTATATTTAACAGTTAATTAGGACTTCCGTTCTTTTCTAATACTTAAAAGATCTATAAGATTGAATGAAGAATTATCATGTCGACGGATTTTTTTTAAACGTTTACCATGTGATCTTTTGATTTTCAGTGGAATAAGGTAAAAATATTGGTAGATGAGCGTTAAGATATTTTTCCCTAACGAAGAAAGATTATAAGTATTGAATTTTTCAAATCACGTTATTAATGATTGCTCATTTATCTTGTGAGTACAGCTTCAAAGGGTTGAACTTTAATTTCAATAGTATTACGGTGTAAATTAAGATGCTGATTAACTAACTATCTAAATCTATATTTCCGTGGCACGACATTATTTACGTATATCGAACCACCACTTTATCACTGTTCCGGATGGTTTTTTTTGTAATCTTGATTCAGTCTCATATTTCATCTAATGCTGTTTTGAAGAAAAAAAAGGAAAAGTTAAGATCTTTGCAACAGATAATTCAAAATTAAATGCAACTAAATGTGTACATGTTTGACATGTTTGAGCAGTGCAATGATAATTATGGGCTATCAATGTGAATTTCTGAAAAAATTTCAGAAAACCAAACTTACCTTTTCATTTTAAACCATATAAGTATCATAATTACAATAAGTAATAAAATGATTAATGCTGTGAAACCTAAATGAATCCAATTCTGACTTCTTTCTCTCCTGTTTAAAAGAAAAAAAATGTATTTAAATAACAAAGGATGGTATTCATGGCATATCAATCTGATAGTTCCTGTTTTGTGTATACGAAACTTTTTCACACATGGGTGATTGAGATCAAAACATATTTACTAAACACCTGACGATTGGTGAAGACTGTTTGTTGACCTCTCGATTGTGTATAAAGTTGGGTTGCTGACATATACCCACCAATTCCTTTTATACATAAATAGTATTCAATCCAATTCAGTTTGATGTGCGCTTAGAGATTTGGCTTTATCTACTGTGTCTTGATTAATTGTTGTATTATATTATACTTCACTGAATAATTGAAAATTATTAATTGCATAACAATACTGAGTTTTAAATTTTTTTAGACTCGTCATCTGCTCATGGTAACAGATAAGCTTTCTTGCCATTATACATAGATGGTAATGTTACCCGAAATTCATGTGAGAGGACATAACCACACAAAATATATATATTTCCGTGTCTTCATTATTCATATTTAAAGTGTTATGTTGATATTCTTCTCAATCTACATAGAAGAGATTAACAAAACGTTTAATATAAAGCTTACTTGCTGATTGGTCAAATATGATTTCCGGGTCTATCATTTCACAACGGTTACCAATATATTTATTTAAACATCTGAAACAAGAAAACATGGCTTAACCATGATTAAAAACAACTAGCAAATACTTTGGTATATATTTTACATTTGTTTGCAAAATAGTAAAATGGTTTTGACTTATTAACGATTTACAAAAAAGTTTTGTCTACTCATTGTTGACAATCATGAAATCTTACTACGACTAATGGTGACATATGAGATGAAGCTTATCCTTAACGAACAATGGATTTCAAGTTCAACGTATTTTCATTTATAAATTTGATAAAAATAATCCTTCGGTTTTGAATTTTCTTTTTTGGTTAATGGAAAACATCTTATACAAATACACTTCATATACTCACGCACATCCCACTACTCTGTCTGCTACATACACAGCAAAGCATGATCCTCCATTCAAACAGGCTAATGTGTGTGTCTCATTATCTGTACAATTTAGTTAATGATTTTCTGGAATTGTTTGATTATTTACTTTGTATTTAAGTTTGCCTTTGTTTGAATTTTCGGAACATCTAATGCAACATTCTACAAATAAAGGCAACAGTAGTATACCGCTGTTCAAAAGTCATAAATCGATTGAGAGAAAACAAATATAAAGTCGTTAGACATAATTTCACAATGATAGATTTTCAGCAATTGTTTAATAACAAAGAATTTGTATTGCTATTTTCATGAATTGTGTACAAGTAATTGAAACAAATTTTTGATGTTCAATCTAAAATTTTTATAAACAGATATTTTACGTCAGTTCAACAAAACTATATATCTAAATTAAGGCGACAGTAGTTTATCGATGTTGAAATCGCGTAGATTGATAAGAAAGAGACAAATCAAGGTAACAAGCAACCATTGATGGACTCGCATGAACTCTGAAATTGTACGTCGACAAGGTAAACGTAAAAAATGAATTAAAATTATGTTTTGTTTTCACACTAGACAACCAAAAATTGAAGAAACAAACAGAGATTGCGATTGAAATCAAAGACATATGAAGATCCGAATACATTGTCTTTTTCATATTTAATATTAGTCACACATTCCTTAACTTTTTTTCTGATTTTGTTGCTAAAGACTGCAAATATTGAATGATTTTTTATATTAAATGACGATCTTCGTGTATTATATTTACATGTATTTGTAATTGAATTCGAGACTTTTTGATTCTTCAAATATATTTCTGTTAGGAAGCAGTATGGTGAAATTTTTCTTAGAATATAGATAAATGTCCTACTGACTTACTAATGTTAAGTTACCTGTATATACAAACAGCAGACAAATAGATATAGGAAGATGTGGTATGAGTGCCAATGAGACAACTCTCCATCCAAGTTACAATTTATAAAAGTAAACCATTATAGGTCAAGGTACGGCCTGCAACACGGAGCATTGGCTCACACCGAACAACAAGCTATAAAGGGCCCCAAAAAATTACTAGTGTAAAACCATTCAAACGGAAATTGAAACAATTAAAGAATTGAAACAAGAGTATCATTAATGACATATTCGCTTCCCTGAAAATATTAGTATATATTGTAAGGTCAAGTTTAAAACAATAATCAAAAAGCAAAACAGTATAAATATCATGGATAAATTCAAATATATATATTACCTGTAACAGAAATAAATGCTTAATATTTGCACTATTTCTCTTTTCAATTTAAAGTGCTAATTGTTACTTAAATTTTATTTTTAGCCCAACTAACTAATTACGATAATACTGACACGTCTAGCAAGTGTACCAAGTCGGGAATATGACAATTGTTTTCCATTCGTTTGATGTGTTTGTGCTTTTGATTTTGTCATTTGATAAACGACTTTCCGTTTTGAATTTTCCTTGGAGTTCGGTATTTTTGTTATTTTTACTTTTTTCTAGCATCCGTGAATATTACTATGATGTATCTAGTTTTAAGCAGGCATGCAGAATAATGGTGAAAACAAAACAACGACGCAAGAAGTGTCGCGGTTTTTTTTTTTTTTTTTTTTTTTTGTGTGTCACTCTTGTGTTCACTTACGTTTGGTGTATATTAGAAATCATAACTTTCATGTATGCTGAACTGTCCTTTAAAATCTCATTTAACCACCATCCCTTCCATACCCAAGATTGTTAATAAGTGTAGTCAAAAGTGCATAACTTTCAAGAAGTATGTTTCATGGTAATTCCACCTTTTCTGTTTACACATTCGTGTATAAGTTTGAAAGGTACATTCAAAAGGAAAACATATTTAAAATGTCAACAATAACCATTGAAGGTCAACTTGATATTTTTAGTAACAAATATCGGTTTAAAATACTACAAATATTTTCATAATATGATAACTTCATATGAGTATTTTTAAGATCTAATGTCATTAAGTATGTGTTTAACATGCAACTGCAGTATAATAATCCAGTCTATTTGCGGTTATTGTAAGCAAAATTGCTCAGAATGTGGTTAAAGCATCAAATTTTGCATAATAGTAGTATAGGTAATGGAAAATATTTTCAGCTATGAATCCACTCTACAAGTTTAAATTTGCGGACGTTGGATTTCTATAAAATACTTCAAAAATTCGTGAAAATATATTTGTTAAGCTATTGACATGAAACCTGGTAAATAAAGTGACAATGCTTAACCAATTGCCATGTTTAACAAAATTTATGAGAATGCTACCCACAATCAATTTTGGGCTTTTTGTAAATTTAGGAAATTTTTAAGCCAAAATAGGTTGATCTCCAAATCCAAAATTCGATGAAAATAAATCGTTTGGTTGATAATGTTTATCTGAAAACTACTTTTAAAAATCCTCCATAACAGCAATAATGAGAATCATATTATACAAGTAATATCATAAGAAAATTATCTGCTCTAATGTTCTCAATTGACGTTACAAACCCTTCCCCCCGCCCGCCACAGTAGATGAGTAGTACATGTTTTGTCATACAACACAATAGCAGTCACTGTCTAATATATCCAATCAACAGTTCAAATTGTTCTCCACATTTACACATTTGCATCGTCCTCGGCAACTGTTTTCATGTTCACGTTCACATTTTATTAAGTTAGCGGAAAGTAACATAACAAAAATACCAAACTCCGAGAAAAATTCTAAACGGAAAGTCCCTAAGCAATTGGCAAAATCAACAGCTCAAACACATCAAACGAATGCATAACACCTGTCATATTCCTGACTTGGTACAAGCAGTTTCTTATGTAGAAAATGGTGGATTAAACCTGGTTTTATAGCTAGCTAAACCTCTCACTTGTATGACAGTCGCATAAAATTCCATTATATTGACGATGTGTGAACAAAAAAAAAGAGACATAATAGGTAAAAATGTCAAAAGTAGGGGTACAGCAGTCAACATTGTGTTATAATCCCAATCACTTTAGAAACAAACAAATATGTCAACAAAGAAAAACAGAAAGGCATATAGACAAAGCACATTAGCAAAAACGAATGACAAGAATACAAAAATTTACCACAGCACAATAGCACAATGATGGGATGAATGTTAAATGAATTCTACTAAAAATAGACTAAACAAAAATTGTAATAATTTACATAGACAAATAAAAGAACACTATAACACGTTATTAGGATGATAAACAACGCCAGTACCTAGAATATATACTTCAAGACAATCGTGTATTATTTGTGAAGTTGGTACGGAATATTTATCAACAAGGTCTTGGTATCTTCCGATGAACTTTTTTAGAGGAGGATTCCCACGTTTGCTGCAGTGATGTTCAGAATGGTTTCCATATAATCCAGTCAATTTGTGAAATAATAACCAAATTTTAAAAAAATTGCCGTCCTTTCTTATTTCTAAATGTTTTTTGTAATTTTATCTATTTTGTCGGTGTTTTTTACCTTTCCTGTTACTCTTTGATAATGATGACCTTTTAATATTTAAAACTATTAAAAGTTTGTTGATAACGTGTGTCTAATGTAAAATTAGTGTTTTGATGATTCAATTAAATATATAAATTTAACAACTGCAATTCAAATGAAGTTTCAAATAGAAAATTCAAAATTATTGCAACAGTCGCTTTATTACGGTGTTATTTTAATTTCTAAATTATTTTGCAAAAAATGTATTTGTAAACTATAAAATTATTATCAAGTTTACCTAATAGATTCATTTTTTAGCACTTGTCAATCGATCTAGTCACTCTACATTAAAGAATACTGTTATTAATGAGGGGCTATTTGAGTTAGGTATACTATAAACCAGGTTCATTTATCAAATTGTTTAATTACTTTATTTCAAAGGAATTCGAATTCACTATAATTATATGAAATATATTAATATTCTTCACATATTTATCATTTATATGAAGTAATTATGACCATTATTTTTTTATCTAATCATATTTTCTTGACTCGCCGTACCTAATATTTCAACTTTATTAAATACTTTATATTTATGATCGGCTTTTTCCTGATAATAAATTATTATTCGGCATTCCTCTTATTCTTATTTGTTAAAAATGTAGTTTTTTCCAAAGTCTAGACAATTTTCATTTTTGTGAAGATAAAACTGAATTTGATTGAAAAGATAAGTTATTGCCAATTTCAATTTGAAATTCTTTCAAAGGATCAAGTTCCAAAGTGTGACATGTATATAAGTTGTGAATTATATGATTTCAAAGTAAATCACAACATGTTTTAATGAATTTAAATAGATACATTGTACACAGAACGTTGAATATCTACTACACACCAGGAGTCCAGACTCATAAAAACAATAAAAATTTCCAATGTGAAATGAATAAACATATCTCTAACTCTTCTTACATGCATCATGTATTGTCTCGCAAGCAGCAACAATTATTAGTACACCTTTACAAAGATGGGGAATATTGAAAATACCCTTTGAGTTCATGTTTAAAATAAGTTCGCAGGAACAGATTAATCAATGTGACTTGGTATGTAGGTGCATTTGGTTACAACTAACATGAACAACACCTCATGGTTGATACCTTTGGTTAAGTTTAAAGTCTGTACAAATTTTGGTCAAGTTTATTTTTCAAAAAACTATGTTGCCTGCAATCATGTTACTTTGTGTAAGATTGGCATCTTGAGGAGTCGGACAACATCCAAACCTATAAAAAGGTTGATTTTTCTTTCATCTCATGTCTCCTTGAACCTGGTTAATTTTTATGTCAAGTTTATTTCACGGATACTATGAAACCCACTATCATGTGAATTGATGTAAAAGTGAATCTTGCAGAGTTTGAGAGCATCCAATCCTAAATTAAAAAAGTATACCTTCATTTCACATGTAATGTAGAAAAAATATTCACACCAGAACACATGTGTACAATAATTTATTCACTGTAACCATTTTGACATTTATATGCCTAGTTCATAGAAAAGAAAAGGTAAACTAGTCTTCACAGTCACTCTTAAAAAGGCAAGCAAATGTCACAATGCTTACTATAATACACAGATATAGGTCACATTTAGGGATTGTATCAATTATTATTTCAGAATTAAGCCTCTTTATTCATAAAAATAAAAGTGGGTTTTTTTTGCGTTTAGTCCCTTCAAAACTGCGTTTATTGTTACAATTGAAATTTTTGGAGTTATTCATTTTGTTTTGTCTACTAAAATTGAGAATGGAAATAGGGAATGTGTCAAACAGACAACAACACGACTAAACATGATAAACAGCCAAAGGCCACCAATGGGTCTTCAACACAGTGAGAAAATCCTACACCCGGAAGCAGGCTTCAGCTGGCCTCTTAACAAAAATGTATACTAGTTCACTGAAAATGGACGTCACACTAAACTCCGAAACATATAAATGAACTAAAATTAAAAAAAAAAACATACAAGGCTCCTGACTTGGGACAGGCGCAAAAATACGGCGGGGTTAAACAAGACTTGTGAGATTTCAACCCACCCCCTACACCTCTAGCCATTGTAGAATAAACAAACACACAGCAATACGCACAGTAAAACTCAGTTAAAAAGATGTCAGAATAGGTAACGGAAGAAACAAAGCAAAAATGACAATGATACATAAATTCACAAAGGACTACTAGCAGTTACTGACATGCCAGCTCAAGACCTCAATTAAACTGATTGAAAGATTATGTCTTCATCATATGAAAATCAAGCACAATCTCACCCGTTAAGGGTATAGTATATTACCATTACAAAATATATGAGAAGAACATTACCCGTATCATGCAACTGGTTTTAGAATAAATGTGTTTATTTCCGATACAAAGACCCTATAAGTGAATCAATATTATCAAAAAATATGCCATCTTTAATTACCTGACAACAGTATCGTAACTATATCCCTTCTGAATAAGTCTGTTTAAAGGTTTGGTTAGCTTTTGAGGTGAATGACGACATTTTGTGCTTTGTATAGAATATTACCATGAATGATTGGATGTGAAATACCTGAAGGTATAAAATTTTTTAATGCTGATTTATATCTAAGAATGATGTCCTTGTACCGATGAAAAAATTTAGTAAATGTTTGTGATATCGAAAACCCTTTTACTTTTAATACTTTTTCAGTAATGCAGAGATTTCTTTTGTTAAAATTAGATACGTTGTTACATACCAGAGAGAATCGAACAAGTTGAGATATATAAACAACATAAGATGGTGACAAGGGAACTCCACCATCTGATAATGGATAATAACAACAGGAAATGAAAAATCTCTCTTTTATCGTAAATTTTGGTATTAAGCTTCCCGATAAAAGACGTGTTTTTCAACAAACAATCGACATTCCAATGGGAATCAACTCTTCTTGCCGACTTGTTCCTATATTCATTTGAAGCCGACTTCATACTGGAACTTCTTAGAAAGAAAGAAGAATCCTTTAACTATATTTTCCGCTATATAGATGATGTTCTCTCACTTACAAATTCTAAATTTGGTGACTATGTTGAAGCATCTATCCCATCGAGCCTGAGATAAAGGATACAACAGATACAGTAAGGGATGTCTCATATCTGGACTTACATCTAGAAATTGACAAAAAGGGTCGGTTGAAAACAAAACTTTACGACAAAAGAGATTTAAACTTCCCAATCGTGAACTTTCCATTTCTATGTAGCAACATTTGAGCAGCGCCTGCATACGGAGTATATATCTCCAAGTTGATACGATATTCTAAGGCTTGTATTTCCTATTTTGATTTCCTTGATAGAGGGTTACTGCTCACAAGGAAGCTATTAAACCAAGATTTCCAAGTGGTGATGTTGAAATCATCCCTTCGTACATTTTATGTACGCCATCATGAGTTGGTTGACCGTTATGGAATACTGTAAATTCAGAAATTATTGCGTGCATTTATTATTGCGATTTTGTCATTTTAGACTAAAACGCGATTTTAATTTTTGCAATTTTGCGATATTAAGAAAAATCCTGTTTAATTCATATAAAAAATTTCAAAATGCGAGTTTAATTTATTGCGATTATAACCCTGTCGCATTTTTCGCAATAATAAAAACATCGCAATAATTTCTGAATTTACAGTATCCGTTGTACAGATGATAGCGGATAAGTTCCAAATTTTGTAACTACAATCCCGTCCCCATTTTCCCGAATGTGATATACCGAATTAGACTTATCACCGGGATTGTACTAAAATGAGCAACACGATGGGTGCCACATGTGGAGCAGGATTAGCTTACCCTTCCGGAGCACCTTAGATAATCCCCAGTTGTTGTTGGGGTTCATGTGGCACAGTTTGCTATGTTGGTTTTTGTGTATTATTGTTTGTTTGTTGGTCTTTTTCCTTTTTATACATGGCGTTGTCAGTTTATTTTCGATTTATGAGTTTGAATGTCCCTCTGGTATCTTTCGCATCTCGTTTTCAATCTATGTTAAAATGTTTTTATACTTTTAGATTCCTTAATATTCAAATTACAAAACGATAAGCAGCGTTCCTATTTCGTATGAATCAAATGAAGAAAGGACATTAATCTCTTTCAACGACAAACTTTTGTGTTGTTTTGTTTTGGCTAAAGGGAAACCAAACATTGTTTCGAAATTAACAACCCCCTGATGAAGCTCTTGATACTAAAGGTTTAGATGAACACGATGTGTAATCGTATAACAATTCTTTTGTCATTTAATAGACACCAGAAAATCATAACAATTAGCATCTTTGGTTGACCCATTTTATATTGATTTCATTCTCCTTGTGTTCAGTAAATTACCATGTAAATCCGACTATACTAGATGTAATACAAATATTATCATATAAACAGACACAATTATGCATTTGATAGTGATAAATGTATCTGAGAATATTTGTTTGCACAAGTCAACTTTAGATTTACGCTTGTGTTATTCAAACAAGCAAACAAACTTCTAACCAAAACCTTGATTTTTAAATCAACAAAGTTGAAGTATTTAATTTTGAAGATAGACATCCGGATATGGATTTAAATATACGCTTTGCATTTGCATAATGATACAATATCTCATCGTTACAATACATAGACTCAAACGATTTTCTTTATAAGTATTTTGAATTTCAATAAGGACTTTTTGATTGAACGAAGAAATCAACAATTGTTATAGGTATAAATCAATCTTAATAAAATCAGTATCTCCATCAGAGTTTGATTATTTTCATCTTTTTCTGATCATCATTGATTTTGTCGAGGTGTTTCCAATCATCTTCGTTGTTTCTGGTTGATCACCACTGAAAAAAAACAAAGTATCAAGATTATGTTACTAAGCATATTCCTTTACATTCTAGTTATTGATATCAATGTTCGCACTTTTAACATTATAACTTCTACTAGTACATGATTAATACTAACCATTCAGTCAGTATACGTATCCTACAAAGGATCACACGACATGTTCTAAATGATAAAAAAAAATATCACACTACTGGGAAAATGGTAATAAATCCTTTAAAGAAAAAAATATTTTTTTGAAATAAGTGTATAGAATGCCATTTTACGCAGCTTGAAATTCAGAATTACTGCTGCTCATATACATCATTCACAGAATATTGGGGACGAATGAATTTATACAAAGCAATATATTTACTCAATAGACACCATAGAATACATATTCTGGACTTGTCCAAAAGTATTTGCCATATAGAAATAAATAGTTGAATAAATACAAAAGTGCAAATAAAGCTACCACTTAACGTAGAAATGGTTTGTATTCAGGATCGTAGAAAAAACTAAATAAATCACAGACGAAACCTTATAATACTGTTTATAAGATATCATGTATCCAAATTTTAAATACAAAACGGACATGTTAATATTGAAGCAGTAAAAATTATTTATAAGAAAATTTGCTATTTCAAAAAATCATATTTTATAAATATAAATCATTACAAAGAGAGTATTCCTGACTGAACCTTTTGCTGCAACTAACATAAGAATTAAATCCAAGCTACCAAGGTCTTGTCATAATTATCTATATATAAGTATGTCAAATGATTCCTTGGTAGAATATGTGAAAATAAACAACTATATGTACTTGTCATGACTTTGCAGATGAAACTATGGATCAATTACCAATTTCGTGTTGCTCAGTCTTTAGTTTTCTATGTTGTGTTTTTCGTACAGATTGTTGTCTTTTTGGTCTTTTTCTTTTTTTGCTATGGCGTTGTCATTTTATTTTCGACCCTTAGCGTTTGAATGTCCCTTTTGTATCTTTCGCCTCTCTTTTACCGTAATCTTAATATATGATATTGATAAATGTATTTTATCCAATAATCACAATAAAAAAAGTTAACTGACTCTATAAACAATGTCACCGTAAAAATAAGGATATCATATCAAGTTTTTGAAGAATTTAACAGCAACACATTCTATTCAAATATTTGTATTAATATTAAATTTAGTGAAGGTTTAAAGCAAATTGTGATGACAACATCCCTGACTTAATAATTTATATGTTATACATAGATTATGTTCACTGAAATCGTAACCGCGACTACAGACATAGGAATAGCGAACACGTTGTGATATGTACACACCGTAAGAAGGGGACAAACGAACATAATCGTCCAAAAAAAGAAAGTTACCAAAAGGGAACGAAAAATCGTATCTTTTGTCGTTAATTCTGATATATAGTTCTATCGGTATTAGATTTTTTTAAGTTAGTTTGCCGCTGTAAAATTATAAAATTCTTGATTATTTAAAGCAATGGTATCATCAAGGTAACAATAAGTGGTCTTAAATCCATCAGTTAAATGTACTTTAGACGGATTTTTACTGATTTTGACCATAAACTATGATTCATACCAATAAAGCAACGCGTCTGCTATTAAGGGATAATTATATGCCAAAAGGAATGATTAACATTTGTCGAAAACTGTATTGCCAAAACGTACAAAAATGTTGTCAACGAAAATTTTGCAGCTTTACTCATCTCATCACAGTTCCAGTAAATATATCTAGCATATCTATCTTTTTTATCAGGCTTTATCTGAGTTTTAGCGAACAAATCTGCAATTTATGTTTCAAACGTCCATTTAATAAGATAAGAGTAAGAGAACGTCTGTTTGATAAGATTGTGTGGAAGTGTACTGTACAGAGTCGAAAAGACATAACTCTCAACCAAATTAAATGGACCATTAAAAGCACATAATTTTACAAAACATCCAAAAAGTTGTTGACGCTTCAAAAATAATTGATTCCATTATTTTCATATGCTTTATCACAAACATTAAAATAACAAGTTCTTTAATAGAAGGAAGGGAAAGAGTTAACAGCAAAGAAAATTAGCCATTAACCACCACTAGAAGCCGCGATGTAAAGAATTTTTAATATTTTTTGTGCAGTTAAGGTAGCCAATACATAGTAGGTATCTACATATATTCAGAGGCAGCATTAAGCTGAGATGTGTAGTGATATGAATATTTACTATCAGCCTCTCTATGGAATGTAGAAGAATGTTTAGTGTTACTTTTAAGAAATAACGTGTAGTATCAACATCATACCACAGCCACATTGTTGACTGCCTTGTTGTCCTGTACGAAGATAACAAGTTTTGCGAGTACTACAATTTTTCTTTTTAAAATGGGCGTATCAATTGCCCTTTTATTAATTTCTAAATTATTTTCGAGATGTGAAAGGTGAATATTCCAAATATTCAGACATTTATTGCATTAGGAATCAAGTATTTTCATCGGCATTCTCTCGCTTACACCAATTTATACGACAACTGGAGGAAAGAGCATCTTTAATGACCTGACGACACTTTTCCACTTTGGTTTTGATGGAAGACAATCTTTGGGTCAATTTTTTAGAAAGTTTATGACCATTCAGTCCTGCACAAGGTTGATGTCTTCTGTAATAAAATGGCCAAAGAGATCAAATCTTAAGGTGGCTCGGCCCTTTAACAGTGCGCATATTTTAACGCATGTTACTAACGACGAGCGCCTTGGAAACGGTCGCCTTGAGGGGTTTTCTCAAAAATAGTTTTGACGACATTGGAACGCGGGCGTGTATGAAAGCACCCTTTCCCGATGTCAACAAACCATGCAAAACGTTCTACAAAAGCCACAAAACAGGAAATACGTACGTACGGTCAGGACTACAGAGTGGTTTGTTCATTTTTCACATAAAAAGGACAGAATTATACATGATATATTAAAGCATAACATTAAAAAAAAGAAAATATAAATATTGACTTGTACGACGGTATCTGGTGCGTTCGCTCCAAAAACACATTCTTACCCTACACGTTCGCCCCTTGGATCCGTTCGCCCCCTATTTTCATTTAAATACTGGTTGAATATATCAAAAGATGTCTTTTAGATGTATTAGTATATATATGAAAATATTTTGCCAATGACGCAATGTTTAACCGTAAACAAAGGATAGCGATGTAAACAACTGCATGTCACCTTTCGGCTTTCAAAAACAAGTAAAACCCATATAGTATGCTATAGTATTGTATTGTATTGTAGTATAAAGGCATCGAGGTTCATCTGCACGCTATAAATAATAAATAAATAAAAAATAATAAATAAGCTTTATTTAGAGTCAGCAAAGTATACAAACAGAGTCAACATAAGCTCTAATGAACTTTTAACCGTTTTATCCGTTTGGCGTTTTATAACATTTTGTTACTGTCATAAATCTCTTTTTTACTTGAAATATCTTCATTTCCAAGTATTGGTAGGATCTTATTCCGGAGTATGTGAAATATTTTCCCACTGCAAAATTTTGATAATATATAGTTACGTATTTTTTATTTGCCAAAAATTTTTGAACATAACAATTCTGGAGTATGGGAAACATTTTAACACTGCAAAATTTTGATAATAGTTAAGTATTTTTTATTTTCCAAAATTTTTTTTGGACATTACAATTTTCAAACAAAGACTAAATACTTGACAGTCACACATTACATTTTTGTTTAAAGATTTATATACTTTATCAAATAATGGGCACGAAAATATCTAACAAATTTTCTCGTATCATGATTCTATGAAATTTGGAACTCTAGTACTATAACATGAGACCTCGATCGTGGCCAATGTTTTCTATTTATAATATTTTCCTTTTACTTATTTTGCTATTTGTTAATTTTCTATTTTCTGTTGTATCTATCAATATGCCAACAGAGTTCGCATTAAAAAAAAGAAAGAGGAAATATCAGCGTAAAAACTAAAATAATTGATTAAGAATGAATATTATAATAGACTAACGGAACTCGAGCAACACATTTTTTGTTTTACGCAGAAAAAAAACCCGGACATTTCAATAATTTGCAGTTTTCAATAGTTGATCATGTAGATGAAAATTGGTCAATAGCAACCGGGACCTTACTAGTATTCCGGCCTTATATATCGGTATATGCTATTATCCCTCAATACCACATGCTTTGCGGCGCAAAATATTTGGCTTGACCAAGTCGTGATTTAGCCTAGGACACACATCCGCATTCTACCGGGCAGTTCTAAACACTACCAGTTAAAGACATTATACAATGTATATACACAAAATCTATACTACTTACTAGGTTCAGGAAAAGTTGGGATTGTAATTTTAAAACTCCGCCCAGTACACAGGGACGCTATAATAGTCGGTGATATTGGCAAACTTTAACTTCTGTCTTACTTTTTGACATGCGTTTTTTAGCTCACCGGGGCCCGAAGGGACCCATGTGAGCTTATGCCATCACTTGGCGTCCGTCGTCGTCCGTCGTCTGTCGTCGTAAACTATTTCAAAAATCTTCTCCTACTGGGCCAAATACCTTCAAACTTTAAATAAATGTTCCTTAGGGTATCTAGTTTATAAATTGTATCCGAAGTTTTGATCCATCGACAAACATGGCCGCCATGGCTAAAAATAGAACATAGGGGTCAAATGCAGTTTTTGGCTTATATCTCAAAAACTAAAGCTTTTAGAGCAAATCTGACATGTATAGAATTGTTCAATTGGTCAAGATCTATCAGCTCTGAAATTTTCAGACGAATCGAACAACCCATTGTTGGGTTGCTGCCACCGAATTGGTAGTTTTAACAAAATTTTGCAGTTTTTTGTTATTATTTTGAATATTATTATAGATATATATGAACTGTAAGCAGCAATAATGTTCAGCAAAGTAAGATCTACAAAAAAGTTAACATGACCATAATTGTCAATTGACCCCTTAAGGAGTTATTGCCCTTTAAAGACAATTTTACACAATTTGTTCATCAAGTTTGCTAACATTTAA